ATTACTTGAAGTGACTAATTTAAAGGCTCTAGAAGAGCAAATATGTTATTATCCGAAATGATAAATTTATTATGAATGATGTACTATTCTCTTCAAAGTCTTATAGAAATTTGTTAAGTTTCAAAGATACTCATCCGATTTGATATCATATCAAGATAGCAAATGTGAATACTTATATGTTATAATCATTATATCGGGTAGAAAATATCTATCAAAAAATTTATCTCGTTTTCTCTTCTAGTATTTATTACAAACATTGAAATGATTGAAACAAATATTGTAGTAAACCGAAGTTTACTAATTCAAATACTTTTATTATGTGATATGACCGGTTGTTCTATCTTGGGTCTTTCATGATGCGAAAAATTATTAAAAATTCATATGGATATCTATTGAAGAGCCGGAAGATTCTTCAATTTAATGAACTTTCATGTGCTACATGTTGCCAAGGAAAATTGATGATTAAGCCATCATCAAGTAAAATTGAGATTGAATCTCCAGTATTTTAGAATGTATTCAAGGTGATATATGTGGATCAATTCATTCACCATGTGGACCATTTAAATATTTTATGATTTTGATAAATGCATCCACAAGATGGTCATATATATGCTTATTATCTACTCGAAACCTGACGTTTTCAAGATTGCTAGTGAATAATTTGATTTCGAGCATAATTTTTAAATTATGCCATTAAAACAAGTCACCTTGATAATGCTGATGAATTTATTTCTCAAGCATTAAATTATTATTGATTGGCTATTAAAATAAAGGTTGAACATGTTATTGCTCATGTTCATACTAAAAAAGGTTTAGCAAAATCATTTGTCAAAAGGCTCGAATTGATAGCTAAACTATTATTTAAAAATAAAACTCTCTGTTTATGTTCGAGGACATGCAATCTTACATGCAACAACACTTATTCGCATATGACCCATGAGTTATCGAAATTCTCTCCTCTTTAATTGATTTATGGTCATTAGCCAATTATTTCTTGTTTAAGAATTTTTAGCATTACGGTGTATATCCTTAGTGCTCCTCTATAATGAAATAAAATGAGCACTTAAAAGAGATTGAGAATATATGAATCCTCTTCAATAATTCAATCTCTTGATTCATGAACAAGAGGAAATTTTTACGGCTCGATTTATCGACTTGTCATTTTGATGAAATAGTTTTTTCAACATTAAGAGGAGAGAATAAGCAAAATAAGCAATTGAAAATGTTGAAAAAAAAAGATTACATGGAGTACTCTATCTTATATCACCTTGATTCTTGTAGAAGATAATGTGAACTAGAAGTTCAAAAGATAATTCATGTACAAAATATTGAAACCAACTGCCAAATGCATTCTCGGATCTTAAATGAGTAACTAAAATGCATGTCCCTGCTCGAGAATGCTCCTATTATAATTAATGTCCCGGAAGGATAATCTATTAATATTATAGCTAACGAATTTAAAGCACGCACTGAAGCTTGGAAGAGCGATCGGTTCTAAAGATAAACATCTCTAAAAGAAAAGGGCAAGATGAAAATATTTACAAAATGGTCCAATATATTTCGATCATAGGCTTCCGGAAGAAGTCCAAATACTTGAGAAAAATCAAGAGATTTTGATAAATTATATCAATGCGGGGAGAAAACAGGATCGAAAAGAAATATCTATTGATAAGACTTTTGCATATAATATTACAATTGATATTATGGATGAAAATAAGGATCCCGGGCCTAAATTATTGAAGAATATCGACATAAAGATGATTGGCCTAAATGAAAAGAGCAATCTAGGCAGAATTATGTTCTCTTATAAGAGAGTAGTTTTTTTAAACCCATAACTAAAACACTCGAAGATGTTAAGCTAGTGGGATACAAATATGTATTTATGAGAAAATGAAATAAGAAAGATGAGATTATAAGATATAAAGCAAAACTTTTAACATAAAAGTTTTCATAAAGAATTGACATTGACTATGAGGAAAGATATTCTCCTATAGTGGATGCAATTGTACTGTTGTTATCTCATTAGCATGAAAAAATATATGAAAAACATTCATATGCATGCATTTAATGAATGTGATAACGGTTTATTTGTTCATTTGAAATGACATAAGTATGAAAGTCCTAGAAGGACTTGACATGCCGAAGCATGTGATACATATTCTCGAGATAAGAATTCAATTAAATTATAGAGATCTCTATTAGGATTATTTTAGTATTTGTTTTATTATTTTGGTTTTTAGAAATTCAATTTATACTTTTTATATTTTATTTTTATATCTTCTTTTTATTACTAACCCGTGTGCTTATGATATAATCACTTCAATGATTATTTGTTGAAAGAAAGTTATATAAAAAATAACCCTATTTGTTCATATGTTTTTATTTGAAAAAGGGTTTGTTTTATATGTTGATAACCTAAATATTATTGAAACTCCCGAAGAGATTCCAAGTGTTACAAGTTACCTAAAAAGAGAATTTGATATGAATATCTTGAAAAAATAAAATGTTATCTCGACTGCAGTTCGAGCACTCGGAAAATGAGATTTTCATTCATTAGTCAATTTATATCGAAAAAGGTTCTACAATGATTCTATATAAAGATCATTCATTGACTAGCCCAATGGTAGTTCATTCACTTGATATCCAAAAAGGCCCTTTTTGACCTCGAAAAGATAACGAAGAACTATTTGGTCCCGAAGTACCATATTTTAGTGCTATTGGTGCATTGATGTATCTTGCTAATAATATCCAACTTCGTTATAGTCTTTTCTATAAATTTATTAGCAAGTCATAGTTACGTTTCAATATAGAGACATTGAAATAAAGTTAAACATATACTACGTTATATTCGAGGAATAATTGATATGGGCTTATATTATTCCAATAAATCAAATATAAGATTAATTGACTATGCGGATACGAGTTATTTATCTAATTTACACAAAGCTCGATCACAATTGGTTATATATTTACATATGGAGATACAACTATATCTTGGCGTCCTATGAAGCAAACCACGGCTACAATATCTTCAAATCATGCGAAATATCAATTCACGAGGCAAGTCAAGAATGTGTTTGGCTAAGATCAACGATCCATCATATCCGAGAGACATGCGGTTTATCTATCGACGAAAAGAAGTTCCAACAATATCATATGAAGATAATGCTTCTTGTATAGTTTCATTAAAGGAAGAATACATCAAAGTGATAATCTAGCAGATTTGTTCACCAAGGTGTTACCTACCACAACTTTTGAGAAGATGATTCACAAGATTGGAATGCGTTGTCTTATAGATCTTAAATAATGCCTTCAACGGGGGAGACCAAAATGGAGATTAATGTGTGCAAGGAATATTGTACTCTTTTTCCTTTACTAGGATTTTTTTTCCCACTCGGGTTTTTTCCTAGTAAGGTTTTAACGAGGCATGTTCCTTGTACAATGGACATTCGAGGGGAGTGTTATGAAATAATGAATGTCCATCATCATGTTCATCCACTTTTCATATCCCAACTACTCATGATTCTTAATATGATTCAATTCATCATTCAATATGAGAAAATGAAAGGGTGATGCAATTGATCATTCATAGTCCCTTCTAATTCTCTCCTCAATTTTGAAGCCTATAAATAGGCTTGATTGTTCATTAGTTAGTGTACAAGTTTCCTAGAGAGAATAAGAGAAACTTTGAAGTTCTTATTACTTATATTCATATTATAATGATTTCATTTTCTTGTCATCCTTTTCTTCAATTCTCCTATTATTTCTATTTATTTTATAACACTTTGTTTATTTTTGTAACTCGTTTATGAAATTTCAAAAAACGATTAATTTGTTAATTTCAACTTAAATAGCTTCGTGGTTCAATAGTTTTTTTTTTTTTCAAACAATATTGCTCGAACCTCCAGTATGCCATACACAGTGTGTATCGGTTTTGTATACATCAATAACGGATGCAACTTAAATATGAATATAATATATTATTATTATTATTATTATTATTATTATTATTATTATTTTGTGATTGAGGCTTCTATGCTTTGCGTTCAAAAAATCAAATCTATATAAAGAACTTTCAATTATAATAAAAACATTGTATTGTTGTAAAACATACTTTGATATAATCAAAAGCAGCAATTCATAAAATAACTTTCTTACTCATAGTTTCTTCCAATACCCTGCCACCCCTGCAACGTAAGAACAAACTAGGTAATTCTAAAATGTTATGTGATGCCTCTTAAGTCTTAAGTCGCTTATCGAGCGCTTTAATCGTAAGAGATTTCTCTTATTGTGGTCCTTAACTTGCTGGTCCTTGATTTAGCGGTCCAAATAGGGTTTTCTGCTTCTTAGTCCCATTGTATCCAACACGGCAGAGCTGCAATGTTTCTTTTGTTATGGTTATGGTGAGAAGCGTGGCTGATGACTGCCATGCCTGAATGCTATACGAACTTTCTGTGATCTGAATGAGTTTAGAGTGAGTTCAATGTATTGGTGCTAGGATCTCAATGAATAAGACAAACAGAAACCAAGAACTTTTATGAAATTTTGCAGCTTCATTTTTCTATTTACCTGGTGATTCTGGTAGTAATAAGTTGAGCTATTGCGCTTAGGTATGTTAGGATTTAGGACAGTATGAGCCAAGCTTGACAGACAAATTCACAGGAAATCTATATAAGTTTAGTGTCTATATATATATATATTATCTAGCTTTTCTCATCCGTTTTCCTTAACCCCTTTCAATTTTAATTGCTACGCAAGAGGCTTGAGATGATCAAGGTGCCTTGGCAGAACTAGTGGGATTTATGTCTTTACGATTTTAGAACTTTAATTCATAATTAACGGAACTTTCCCATACTATAGAATTTAAGGAGGCACTGACTGATATATTAGTCACACTGCTTGATACACATCATGCTGGTGGCCTTCTAACACACCACTCTGGCACTCCATAATATCTCATTTTGTCACATGTCTAAACAAATAGACCGTACTTTAACACGCTATTGTTTGAGACTATTCGAGCCGATCTGCTTTAGCTCTTGAAATGCATGTACGGTCTCTGCATCAAAACCACCTGCGAACTGAATGTTTTAATGGTCAGTTGGACAGGTAAAATCTCAAGATTGAGCTTAAGGGAGGGAGTTCAATGTTTACCTGGTGTACACGATAGGCAAATCTAGCCCCTTGAAGCAGGAGATTCTCTTCTCCTGAGCATTCACTAAGCTGCAGTTCTTTAGTTATCCTTTTCAAATAATCCTTAGCTAGCCTCAAAGAACTTAATTTCATCTGCTAAGAATGTCAATGCTGTTAGTTGGAGCCTTATCTCTAATTTTGATTGGGAGTCCATTTTAAAGTTGTTTTCTTGATAGTATTTGTGTGAAAATGTTGGCAAACGTAGAAAACCTTTTTCTTTGAGTTCTCCAAGATGAAGCCGTTATGAGATGCAATATGCAAAATCTAGAAAATGCAGTACTGGGGCATCAAATTATCTGCATAAAATTTTCTAGTGGCCACCAAAGTTTTCTATCATTTGAAATTTCAACAATTTTTTTATTTTACTTAGATTCTAGAGAATGCAGGAGGCTAGACCATCATGTTTATTCTGCTTTTTTGCTGACTCTTTTCTGGTGTTGTTCATGTTACCAAATGATGCACTTCAATTTCTTTAAATGAGAGTAAGCAGTTGCCTTTATATAACATGTGAACTCCTGTTTATTTCTGTGAATGTCGAAAGTTTTGGCATGTTAAGTTTTTGTGCTAATTTTCTATTAATAATAATTTTGTTGGCAAGGTATTGTCATAAGTTGAAATATCATGCTTTAAGGTAAAAATCAGCTACATGCTACCTACCTGACCGATCAGCCCTGTGTTCAGCAACCATTCCCACGGGATCTGAAAATCCCTGTATCTCTTGATCATGCTCTCTCTTGTCCTTTCCGTATTGTTTATGCTTCGCTCCAACCTGTAAATTTGATGTTTGATCATGTCATTAATTCTTGGGACTGTGTAAAAACAGGAAGTTACTGCAATTTAGTTTGTACATGCTCGCCTGTCTTGCAATGCTTGCATTTTTCCCAGGGCTTGGGTCAAAGGATCTTTTGGATTGTCCTGGAATGATGAGACTTCAGATTCGAGGTTTCTTAGGTCTCGGTAGTTGAAAGCAGCTTCACGCAAAGCATCTGCTTTTCGTTCCGGCCATTGCGGGAAGTGCTTCAATACTGCCCTTTCGTCAACCAAAGATGATAATTCATCATCCAGCCATTTCACAAATGCCTTCACATCAGATATTTCTTTGAAGGCCGCAGACTCCACTTCTTTGATTAGGTAGTTGATAAATTCTTTCTGTTTTTCCACATCCGATTTTATCTGTCCAATGAGCATGCTTTTTGTCATCAGAGAGTAACAATTCATTAAAAACTTAATGAGAAGAGCGGGTTGCAACTAACTTACAGCAGAAAGATAAGTGGAGCGATTCTCAATTTCTCCAATCATGTTAGGAGTAAATGCAACTACTTGAATAGCCGCTGAATTGGTTCTGTTCTCCATGTGGGCATCTCTCCTTGTAAGCAAACGATAGAACTCCACAACTTCTGGCACACGGCGCACTGCTTTTAGCCCAACAGACATCTTTGGTGGCGGAGGTGGAGGCGGTGGTGCTGATGTTGGTGGCAATTTACTGTCGTTCACTTCCTTGAGTGATGGAGGGGCCACATAAGTAGGCTTTGGTGGCGGATTTGGTACTTTTGCCGGTTTCTCTTTTCTTGCTGCTAATTCTTGTATGCTTGGCCTTGGACTTGAATGTTCCACACTCCGTTCTGAGGCTTTGACAAAATCTGAATGTTTCTGCAGAAATACATCAGTTTTGCTGCTGTCAAAGGGGTTCTGTAACTTCTTCCAAAGCATGGATTTTCTCTCATTGTCATGTGCTTTGAGTGAACTTATTTGTGCTTTTAGACGAACTACTTCTTGTCGTAATTCCTGATTTTCTTTCTCCAGTGAATCGGTCCTTAGCAGAGCAGCCTCGACTTCTTTCTTGAGGTAGATGATCAAAGATTCGTCCTCTTCTTTTCGCATTTTCCTTTCTTGTTCTGCTTTCATCAGAATAATAACAGAAGAAGATTGGAGTCGCATTCAATAGCTCGATCCTTCCCCTTTTATTTAATGATCTTACTTTTCAAGTAAGGTATTCTCACCCAAGCCTGAAGACTGATGCTCAAGAGAATACCCCTTAATATGCTTTGAAATGGCACTTCAGACGTGCAAAACAGTGTATCCTAGCCAGGGTATTTCTGACATTTTGTTAATCAGAAATTTGCAATTTGCAGTGTAGGTGAGGAGATTTCTTTTGGTTTGCTGGCATGCTTTATAGTTGTCCCTAGGAAGTTATGTTAGGTGCAACATTAAATTCTCAGGTCAAACTTTACTCTTTACTCTTTTATTTTCTTTTGCGATATTATTGATTGTATATGAAGTTCGTCTATCCTTGAAATCATGGTAGAATTCTATTTCCTGCTGTGGCATACGTTGTTAGGCTTCATCAATCCAAGTTATATCTCTACTTGCATATTTTACACGTAGTCTTACGAGGCAGGGCCCAAAGCAGCAATTGAGATATGACTGATTGCAAATTCCCAACTGCCCATATGTGAACTTCCTTTTCCATTCTCCATCGTACATGTGTAAGCCCCAGATTGGGATGGTGGAATTATTAGGTCACATCGGGTTTCAATTCTGAATTCCCCTAGTGTTGATCTCTATGAACTTTTCTAGAGGTCTTGATTGCACTAGATTGCATTTGTTATTCTTTGCTTGTTAAGCAATGTGGAAAGTAAAAAAGAGCTGGGAGATGAAGCACAGTAAAGATGCTCCCAGTAGTTCATTAAAGAAAAAGAAAAGGCAATGATAAATACAACCTACCAGAATAAGTTTTTCCTCTTTTTCTTTGTTTTTTCTGTTTTTTTTCCCTTACTTTTGAAGGAACATGGATGGAAGCTATACTTTCAGGTTTTATTCTTGAAGTAGCTTGTCCCTCTGTAGGCCTTGCTTATATATCATGATACAGTATGTCTATAGCTTTTATTCCTGATTGTAAATTATTAAAAAGGTTAACCCAGCAATTTAATTGAAAAAAGTGAAGAATATCTCTGATGGTGAAGTTTTATTTCCTGTGGTAGTTGAACTGTTTTAAGAGATAGAATGTTAGAATATCACCATTTTGGTAGAGACTGGAGAAAATGTACCGTCGCAGGCGGATCCTAAAAATCTTTGTAAGAATCGATTCTAGAAAGGAGCATCCAAGCTTCAGGTGCAATCACTAGAATGTAGAGAACTTTAAAATTTGTATTATTCTTACTTCTGAGTTCTGTCTCAGCATTAAAAGACGAAGTAGTCCGACTAGGAGCTGCAGGAGCTTGGTGTTGCTTTGATTTTCTTTAAGTCAGCTTTACCTTTTTTGGAGGCCCCATGGCCATCATTAGTTCGTCAATCGAATTCCCTATTGCCAAGGGAACATAATGGCCTCATAGACTAGCTAACAACTTGCTGATGACTCAATTCAAGAACTGTTAAAGAATTGTATGGGCAAAATTTATCCTATTTATATCAGGATTTGAGCCACATGATCTTGATGGGCAATTCATTTGTGAACAATATTGATGCCCCGAGACCAAAGGAAGTTCTGTGTCTTGTATTAATCTATTGTATTATTGGTGCTTTCATTTATCGTTCTCCTAAAAAGTTCCCTCAATGAATAGCCAGTTTTAACTTTTAAGGAAGCAAAGTTGCCTTGCAGATAACTAGTTTGACTAGTTTTTCACTTCACATTTCAGAAGGTAAAATATCACCTTCCAAGTAAGTGGGTGGCCGGCAGAGAACAAAGAAGAAACATTCACAAGTCTACCTCCATTTTTTTTTTTTAAAAAAAATATTAATGCGCTAATTTAAATTGAAATTTGACCATTTAGTTTTAGCAGACATAACTATCATAAAACATAGGCGTGATGTAAAATCAGAGTCATTAAGCACTCAGGCATGTTGTAATGGGCAGCGCTTTATCATGAAACAGAGGTTTTTATTTACTCATGGCATTTAAACTATTAAAATGAAATTCTTAGGGAAAATTTTTTTTTAATGAAACACAAATTTCATAAGTAGGTCATAAAAGGGTTCCAAAAATTTAAGCAAAACTAACCACATAAAGAAAAACCCATTTAAATCATTGGTTCTGGGTATAAAAAAAAAAAAAAAAAAGTCTTCCTAATAGAAAAATGCTTAAGATTTTGCAATTGGCTTCTTATGCTAGTTCTCAACTTTGCAGTGGCCTTCTACTGAGGATTTGGTGGGCGGGCATTGGCTGCTGAGATCCGTGAACCCCATTCAAGCAGCTCTTCGCTGGTATCATCTTTGTGAACAATCACTTCAATGAAGCACAAATAATCTTTCATCTCTTCAGTTGCTGTTTCAATTGCCTCAATAAGCTCCTCCTCACAATAAACCTGCCACAGGATAAAAAAACAAAAAAAATAAAATAAAATAATGAATTTGCTATTCTCATAGTAGCCAATCCCACAGTTAGGAGGAGTTCAACACCCTGACCTTTTTTGTCCAGCATTTTCCATGCCCATTATGGAGAGCATCAACTAAACCTGTGTAGTTCCAGTTCTTGATTACATTGTAAGGCCCATCATGGATTTCAACTTCTATGGTGTATCCACCGTTGTTTATTAGGAAGATGATACTCTTTTGTCCACATCGCAGCATAGCTGAAACATCTTGTGCTGTCATCTGCGCACCGGAATTCTATCAGCTTTATGCATCTAATATTACCCAACACAGTTTCCACATGTACATAATAAGACCTCTATATGGCCAGTAACCTTATAAAGCAATTCTATAGAGGGATCAGATTTATTCATTTGCATGATAGTTACAGATTGATCAATGACTACCATACTAGTTGCTAACCTGAAAGCTCCCATCCCCAATGCAAGCAATCACAGGCTTATCTGGCACAGACTGCGCATAACTAAGTGTTGCACCAACAGACCACCCAATTGAACCATATTGCATCTGAAATTCATACCTGCAACACCAAATTTTATTCTCTTTATGTTTAAAAAAAAACAGTAATTAATACAAACAAGGTTAGGCCTTTTGATCCTACCCGCATCCTTGTGGTAACTTGCGTTTCTGGCAGTTAAACCAGGAGTCTCCAGTCTCAGCAATCACAGCTGTGTCCTCTGAGACCTACAATACATATTTTGGAAAACTCTGTAGCTTTCGACCAGTATTCTCAATGCATCAACAAATCCTCAGCACCACGTTGTTCACCTACACCATGAGACAAACTATGAGCTAACGCTCAATAAGTGTTAACTATGCATGAATGTAAGAAAAACCATCATTTTCATGCTCGAAATTCATTTTTCTCTTTTGGATGCACCCTATTGAATGTATATATATTCAGGCCTCATTTAAAACTGTCATTATGAAGCCCCTCTGAACTATAGATCCTGCTGTAGTTTTCAGAGGCAGTTGTGTTCCTGTGAAGCCTTTTGGCAAGTGCTGGAAGAAAGTCCTTCATTAGTACGCACCCAAAAGCAGGTCCACTAGCAACTACAACGCGATGAGGTTGCACAATGATTGCCTTCTCCTTTTCGAGGAGGAGAGAGTATCCGACGGAGCTATAATCATTAAATATTGGGCCTACAAATATGTAGGCATCGGCAGATTCGACAATCTCAGAACAGAAGGGAGTGCTCACAGCTCCCCAGTAAGTACCAATAAAGTGAGGGTGGTGTTCAGGCACCAGTTCTTTAGCTGATGGCATCACTGCAAGGGGATAGCCATAAGCATCTGCGAATTCAACTAAGGCATCACAGGCCTTCGCAACTCGCAGTTTTGACCCTCCTACAATGACTGGCTTCACTGCCTTGTTCAAAAAGGCTGCTGTGGCCTCTACAGCTGCTTCAAGTCCCATCTTGTTACTCAGCCTGTGTCCCAAAATGAACACATGATAACCAAATTAGTCCTCACAAACTACAGTATGAAATAAAAAAACTCCAATTACGCTCCATTTTAAGTAGTTACCTTGGTGAAATAGCAAATGGCATGGGATCTCTGCTGAAAGTTGGATGAGGGACTGCGGGCAAGTTGCAGCTAATGCTAATATAGACTGGCTTGCTTTCTTTTAGAGCAGTAGAAATTGCTTTATCAATTTGTTCGAGTGCATCTTCCAAGTTATTCACGACAAACCAATTTAATAAATAAATCATTCGTTCATACACACACACACACACATATAATTTTCCAAATCAAAATTATCATCAATTAGTTAATTGTTGCCAAAGTTAATGAAAGACTAATTTTAGAGAAAAGCCATTTAAGTTAATAAACTAAAAGTATAAAAGTATTTAACCACATGCCATGAATCGAAAAAGTAAAAGTTATACATCAGTAGATCAGCTATAAATAATAAGACAAGTTATCGCCACTCTCTAATCACAATCTTGCTCACGATATCCACACGCAATACATGTATTACAAACAGTCACATTTAAAAAAGAATAATCCAAAATACACTAATTTTCAGAATACTATTGTTAATATTCTTTACCTGATAGCAAGTTACAGTTTGGAAGCACCGAAGTTCTTGGCTAAAATCAGGCAATCCAATGGTATGATGCAGAATCCTATTAGTCCCATAATCATTAGTATTTGGTCCTCCAACTATGCAAATGACAAGAAGATTCTCACTGTAAGCCTCAGCAGTGGCATTGATAATACTCAGCCCACCCACAGTGAAGGTAACAACACAAGCACCAACACCACGGGATCTTGCATATCCATCAGCCACATAGCCTGCATTGAGCTCATCGCAACAACCAATGTTGTTGAGCCCTGGCTCAGCAATAAGATGATCAAGAAGTGTAAGGTTAAAGTCGCCGGGCACGGAGAAAACATATCGTTAATGCCTATTACTACAAGTCTGCGTGCAAGGTGTCGACCAAGGGTAGCTTCAGGAAGGCCAATAGCATGAGAAGGACAGTGTGTGTCTTGGATAGACGATGTGCCGTTTTGGGGTGGGTTGCCCGTGTTGTTGTTTGAGGGTTTGCATGAGTCTAGAGAACCAATGACTGTGTCCATGCTAGCAAATATGTTGTGAATTATAAAAGTTAACGAGGAATAAGACAAGAAAAAGGGTATTAATATGAAGGAAATTACTAACAGTCAGGATCTTATTCGAGCGAGGGAAGGAGGGTTTGGTTGCTAGAGATGAGAGGAAGGGAGTGATTATATATATATATATATATATATAGAGAGAGAGAGAGAGAGAGAGAGAGAGAGAGGATTATTACTTGGAGGTTACTTGTTTTAACATATACAGAATTTGCAATAATCTGTCGAAATTCAGTATTAAATGCATTCTTTAATAAGAATATTTATTTTACATGGAGCATACTACTACGAGATTTTTTTGCTTAAAAAAAAAAATTAAGGCACTTTCTAGAGAAAATATAAAGAAAAGAAAAAAAATAAATATGAGCAAAATTTATTATTGTTTTCATATTATTTGTTTGCGTTTTTATTTTTTTTAATATAATTTAATGGTGTGAATTTAGTACAAAACGAACAAAATTTTATTTTTTATTTGTGTGAGTGAAAAAATGCATAATTGGTTGCGGTCAAAAAAGTACTAGAAAGACCTATCACCTATTTCTAGAACCAGACATTTGTACGTCCACTCGTTGCTTGGGTACATATATAAACATTTTCTAGGGTTCGTAAATTTTCCTTGTTGTTTGCTTCATAAATTTTAATATTATTTAACATTTAAATAACAATTTTGCTGCTTTTTTTTTTCCGAATGAGATAATTTTCGAATATTACAATTTACACTATATATAAGAATGCCAAAACCTCAAAAATTAAGGTCACGGAAAAGAGTAGCAAAAAATGTCTCAATTTCTTCACAATTCGTTTTCTAACTACCATAAATGATTATTAACGGAAATTAAAGAGGAATTTTAAAAAAAATTACTGAAAGAATGATCAACAGAAAAGGTCCTTCCGTCATTTAAAAATAACTAACAGAATCATCAATGGATTATTTCCAGCGCTAAATTTCCAATAAAAAAAAAGGTAATTTAAAAATAAATAATAATTAATAATGAAGAAAGGAATTTATTTTACATAGCAACAAAATCATCACCCGGAAGTAAAATACACACAATTCCACTAGTGAGAAAGCGACAACTATCTCAGTATAAAAATTGAATAAATAATTTAATCTGTTTTTAAGTAATAATTTGAGTCTATTATATGTTTATATGTTTCTACTGCATCTATAATGTCCTTAAATAAAGTTTACGTCTTTCCATTAATTTTTTGGAATATGGACAATTTTTTTTTTTTTTTTGAAATGCCCATGATGGAAATGCAAATAAAAATAAAAATAAAAAGGTTATATGACCTCTATGTTTTATTTTTAAAATATTTAAATTTTTCTTTTTTTAATTTCAATCGGGGACATTTTGGTTAAAAAAATCGTTTATGATTAAAAAAATTGATCGAAATAATAGATTGAAGACTTAAAAATTATTTAGAGATATAATAGATGAAATTATAAATATAGTGATAGATCGAATAGTTAAGTTTAGAGGTGACCATTCAGTTAAATGGTTCGGTTTTATACAATTCGATTCAATTTTCGATTAACCAAATTAAGGAAAAAAAAATCAAAACTGAACCAAAATAAATTTGATAAATTTGGTTTGTAACCGAATTATTTTAATTTAGATTCAAAATATTTCAGTTTTAATTGAAATATTTTTCTATAAAAAAATCATTTTTTAAATTTCTTTTTGTATCTTTTTTTTCCTTTTTGCTCACCTTTACTTCAATTTTTTTTATCAATTTTATTATGTTATTCTTTCAGAATTTCTTTATCTTGACGCTCTATAACCATTTATTATTTGAATTTCAGAGTTTATTTTGGCATTGCCTCTAGTTATTACAAAAAACACTAAAAAAAACATGAGATTCTAACTGTTCATAGATTGTTTATCATGACTCAATGGGCTGCTCACTGAGTCTCAACTGCACTGTGTTCATCCTGTTGATCAGCCAGCACTGTCCAATCGTTGTATTCTTGTTGCTGACATTCCTTCAGCCATTGGATCTCCTGTAGGATTTGTGTTTTGCAGACAATTTAAGTCTTTCACATGCATTCGTTTTCTGTCCCTAAAAACATCGCTTTTCGTCCTCATATATTTTCTACATCTTCACTTTGGTTCTTGTGAGTTATTTTTTTGCCCATTTTTTTTTTTTTACGTTTTCTACCGTTAAGTGGCTCTGTTATTACCTTATCACCCTTCTTTCTATAATTTTACTTCGCAACTTGCATGCCTTTTTTGTAACTTCCAAAAATCCATTATGTTGAACATTTAATGCACCCTTTTTTTGATGTTCAGCTCCTGTTTTGCATTTGATCCGTGCCAACATCGTTTGTTTGGCCTTTTTTTCTGTGTATTACCTTTCGTCCTTCTCAACTTGGGTTTTCTTTTCCTCCTTTTTCTATTTATTTACCTCATATGCCATTGAGTGGGACCTTTTTACCTTCTGTTTGTTTTTTTACTCCCTGCTTTCCAAGACCTTTTTTGTCATTTTCTTATTTCATTTGCCAAAGCATTTGATGCCTTTTTTTTTTTTTTTTTTGCTTTTGTATTTAACTCTGACTTGCTCAACTTTCTATATGTTTATTTCTGAAAAATCAAGACCTTTCATTTGAACACTAACAAATCCCTACCATTCATCTCAAGTCTAAAATATTGCTTTCTCGCTCCTTGCTTGATATTCGTTTGATTACCCATCCTTTTGTTTTTCTCCCACAAATGCAATGACATAACTAGAAACACTCTGAAAATTATTTTGCTCTTAATTTTTTTTGGTTCCAGGAATTTAAAATTCATATGTTTGAGTTCAAAATCATACAAATTGAGTTGAGATTTTTAATACATTCTCCTCATGTTTTTTTCCAGTATATAGATTTTTCTATTTATATCCAAATTTGTTGATAAGTATTGCAATTTATTGTTTTGGTAATTATTATTATTATTTTTTGTAAAGATGGAGGGATGCAAAGCAGTACAACCTTCTTCTTCTTGCTTGCTCCGACAAAACTAAAGGTTTTGGGAACTTAAAATCCATAAAAAAATCAATCCTTGACATAGAGGAGAATCGATTTTTACCGACCAAACAATGAAACTCAGCTAGAAACAAAATGGGCCCCTGATGGGTAAATGGATCAACGATGGATCCTTGAGGGATTCGGTTCCCACAGTCGATTTCCCTTCTTATAATCTGTTGGGGAGACCAGCCAAAGGGTTTATGGAGAAAAGGGATAGCGTGGCTAGGTTTAGGTGGGTCTGGTGGTTGTTGGGTTCGAGAAAGAGGCGAGGGGGTAGTGGGCTCGGTTGGGATGGACAACGTGGAGGTGGCAGTGGGCAGTCGAATGTTTGAGTTCCTTTTTCTTTGATTTTTACTTGATTTTTGGGATTCTTCGGGAAAAAGAAAGGTAAATTTTAGTTCTATCAGCTCCCGCTTTTGTCCATTTATCAAGCTATATATAGATTTTATTCTTAAAAAATTCATATATTTGAGCTCAAGATCACACAAATGGAGATAAGATTTTTAATATATTTTTCCATGTTTTTGCTAGGATGTAGGTTCTTTTACCCAGGTTTGTTGATGAGCATTGTAATTTACTGTTATTATGATTTTTAAATTTTTTGTTTATGAACATAGACAAATCCAAAGCAATACAATTATGGAACAGAAGTATCGAGTCCAGCTCCTCTTGATTCTGATTGGTCAAGCAGTGAAGGCAGGAGGCAGGCTCCTCCTTATTCAGACAAGTGAAGCAACAGTTGTACTAGGCAGCCTCATTCACACACTGTTCGCTAGTGTAGTGGTAGCACCATTGCAATCTACCCAGTGACAGGTGGCATGGCAGTAGCTCAAGTTTTTGCCTGGTCATCATCTAAGCCTCGTGGACGATGATATCCAAGAGGTTAATATACCTAGGCTGTAGGAATTTTTTATTAAACGGGGGCAAACAAACCTGTCATATTTTGCAACAGCTAGCAGTTTGCTTTCTTTCCCTTTCCTTAACGTAAGGGAAATTTTGAGAAAATTTTCACTACATTATGTTGTCAAAAGACTGAAAAGTGTTGACCAATAAAAGGCTATTTTATCATATTTATTTTTTTAATTTTTTAATGATTTTTAATTTAATTTTATTTTATTTTTTATTTTTATTGAACAATCTAGAATGAGCTATCTATATTTAATTCAATAATAGCATTAATCCATAGAAAGATATAGGAAGCTAGACAATTTACACACAAGCGAGGAGAATTTAATCCAATTCTATGTTCTTAAAGGAATTAAATAAAAACTTGTCCATAATCATTAATTCTTAGTTACCACCACACATAAGATTAAACAAATAATTACATTAGATTAAAAGTAGAATCCATTTAGATCTAACAACGATTTAACCAAAACTTCAACTTTTTCTTCAACCAAGCAAGAGTAATTAGAATTGCATATTTTTTATTACAAAAGCTAGGTTTTTCTCTATGCTTGCCTAACTCTCTATCCCCCTAAAATAAAACCCTAAGTTCCCTTTTTGTAGCCGTACAATCCATGCAAAAAGTAGGGTTTAAACACACATAGCCACCTCAAATGGACACCTATTATGGCACACAGTTGGTTTGATGTGGATACACGATTTAGAGTTTTGTAAAGCTATTGACACATGGCTTGTTTAATTGGGGCGGATAGTTGTGTCACATTTTCTCTTCATCTCATATTCCTAGCTCCAACCTATGTGTTTTTGTTGCTTCATCTCCTATCCCTACATCCTGCTCGTGTGTCTTTATTGCTTTGTCACACACAAAAGCATAAGCTAATTAAGCTTGTGGATCTTGAATAATCAGCTTACATGAACTTGATATATGCTCGAATTAGAGTTTTCTTTATTCATGAAATTTTTAGCCCTATTTTGTATCTTTCCAATGCATTAAGTTTTACAATAATTGGAGGTCCATAGCCTCAATTATGAGCTAAATACTACCACCGACTTAACTCCGTTTACCCGACCTTAAGATTTCACTTTACAACCGAATTTCTCCATTAGACCGACCTAATTTGGACTCGATATTTTCATAAGAATTGTAGGTATGCCTCTTAAGTATTCCATGGCATTAGAATTGCATCAATTTTAGTTCTTAAACTCTAGATATGAATTAAAATCCACAACTAATCTATACTTATAATAGGATTTAGATCGACTTGCTACACCGAATATGAAATATCGTTTGGAGGCCCAAAAACACTTAAATTTTGATCCACTATATCATTCCGAAAAACTTGAGATGTCTTCTACAAAGTTTTTTAAGATCGCTTCTTCCAAATCCAACTTTAAGGCTTTGGAAAACCTATAAGAAGCTCGTAAAGTCTAAGTTAATGATACTAAAATTCTCTAACCTTTAAACACCATTACTCTAAATCTCTAGTTTATGTCTTCAACATGAATATAAACATGTATTATTGTAATAAGATATAAAACATAGTAAATAAACTAAATATAAAAAGAATAAAGATATGGCATAATGTGTCTATCAATAGTTTCACTATCTCTAAGCTCTCCTTTGGCTTTTATTAAAACTTTTCTTTCTATTTTAGTTTATATTTTAGGATTTTTTTATCCTTAAAGTTTTACCAAGTTAGATTTTTGTCCCAGCCTTATTCATAATAGATTCTTTTTAGTTTTATTATTTCTAAGTTGTTCTTTGGCTTTTAGTAAAAGATTTTTTTCTATTTTGATCCTTATTCTATGAGCTTTATTTTATTTTGATCATTTAAATTTTGTCGTATGTAATTTTTATTTCTACCTCCTACAAAATAAATTTTAAAATATTTTAATTTTATTTCGATTGGACAAACTATAAATAAATAAAAAACACATAGTAGAAACTAACCATCCAACATTTAAAAAACTATCATATTATTATTTTAATTATCAGTTATTACACATATTTATCATAAGATGTCTATTTGTATTAAGTAGCATCTAATTAATTTTACTCAACTTTAAAGGCTTCACTTCGGTCTCTATATTTTCTGAATATTTTTTTGCATGATTCTTTGAAATGATAATTTTGAACTCTACAATTTATATTGATGGATGCATGAAAACACTGTGGCTCACTCTACAGTAAAACGTGGGGTATATGCTAGTATTCCCTAAATTACAAATTGCTGAAAGTTAAGATCATGAGCACTTCATTCAGTAACAATCAGTCATACGATAAACTTCCAAGGAAAGGGATTAGAACAAGATTAAAATTTTAATATGCCATGCCTAAAACCCATGTTAGCTCATGTGCAAATTTAAATATCTGGTTTGCGGTTATCAATACGCATTGCATATATTTATATATGTATTCTGTTCTCAAATTTTATGGAAACTTCAAGCAAAGAAGTTGCTATTTGCATGATCCTTTCTGCTGCTATCCTTACTACATTATTATCCTTTCTGCTATACTTAATGCATTACCTTCTTTCTGCATCAACAGATAACAAAGGACAGGACAAAGAAAATCCTCCATACCCAAAAGAGTTTCAATCAATAATTCATGAAGTCCAGTCGCAGCATGTATCAGCAAATATTTCAGAATGGCATTAGCTTCCATGTTGATGTGTTAGAACAGCCAACAATTTCAAGAAATAAGACTATACAGTTTCTAGTCATTCAACATAAAACCCATATGAACAAATTTCCATCCAGACACAAGGTGTGCCATGCAAACCTGTAAAGTCTGGATTCAAGAAGGACTACAGAAAGCTCTCCGTTCTCTCAGCTACTATCCTGACTGTACTCGATATCTCAACAATAGCCTTCTCTTGTTTTCCTTTACGTGTAGAATCTCCTAATTCCTAGTGTGCCTCCTGCAGAACTTAGACATAATATATCATGCCAACCTCGAGCAAAGAGGTGTGAGGCACATTAAGAACAACATCAGGTTCTCTAGAATTCTTGCTCAGAAAAGCATATACCACATTGATTGCAAATTTCTTGATAATGGAGGATGATTTCTTTGCCTTGGCATGAGAATGCCCGAGAATGTAAGCGACACCAGACTCCTTAGCTTTCAGTATTTGAAATGATTCGTGTTTAAGTTGAGTATTTTCCAGACATCCAATACCAGTTTCAGCCACTTCTGCTTGAATATCACATGAAGATTGCACCTTGTGACTTGAGTTTGTATAAGGGTGCTCTGAAGCAACAAAGCCTTTAAAAGCCGAGTTTTCAAATTCCCTAAATGATTCACTTGTCAGTTCTGATGCATTTTCTTCTTCTGTTTCTACAAACTGAACTATTCCAGATACCAATCTGTTCTCAAAATCATAGTTTTCCTGTTGTAGATCTTTGTAACCATACCTTACAATGCACCGAAACATGCCATACTCCTTCGGGCCAACCCTACTGATGAGGAGCCGTTCATTTTCACTGACATGAGGAACTTGAACAGATTTAACACAGACAAAAACTAGCACCTGATGGAATGCAGGCAGGTTTGTGACAAAGTGTCCAAAAACAGCAGGCACTCCAATAGCCAGGTTGGAGTAAACAAGCCCTATTCCTGGAACACGGACCATGCCCAGGCTAGGTCCTAGTGACACTATCCTATTCATTGAAACCTTGTTCTCCACATCAAATTGGTGTTTCTTCATTGTTCCATAGTTCCATATGTACATTACAGCCATAAAGATCAAAGACAGCACAAGGGGAATCCAACCACCTTCTGGCACCTTGTAAACCGATGCTGAAATGTAAAGCAGTTCAATTGAACCAAAAAATATTAAGAAAGCAACTGCACTAATTATTTTTTTCTTCCACACAATTATCATCACCAGTGCCATCAAGCAAGTTGTCACGAACATAACAGTAGTGACAGCCAGCCCTACAAACCAAGGAAAATGATCAAATGTTATTGAACATAGATGACTGCATAAAGATAAATGAAAACAGATTTGTTTTTCCATAGACGATATATTTATACCATATGCATGGCCCATCATGTTAGTGTCCCTCAATCCAATTGTCACAGCCAAACAAAGGCACATTAACATCCAATTGACCTCTGGAATGTATATCTGCCCATATATTTTACTTGAAGTATGAACAATTTTCACACGAGGAAAGCAATTCAGGGCACAACACTGGCTTATCATGGAAAATGTAGCTGATATTACAGCCTGACTTCCTACCACAGCTGCAAACGTTGCCACTATGAACACTGGCCAAAACACAGATTCTGCAGAAAGCATAGTTACATTAGCACAAGAGAACAACAAATGGCAATCTTCAACTTTTGACCTTAGTTAAGCTCTTGCCTGGTATAGCTTTGTAGAAGCTTCTTTGGATATCTTCATGATGCTTGGAAAGGAATGCAGCCTCACCCATATATGCAAGAATTAAACAGGGATATACCAGACATGTGAAGGCAACCTAGAAAGAAAATTTTGGGTGTTAAGTTTAGGACAGATACAAGGTAGAAAATAAGCAAATTTAGTTTTCAATGTGTTAGACATGAATGCCTGGCACCCAACCAGGTTACCTTTATTGATGATGATGAAAAATGGCCCAAGTCTGCAAACATCGTCTCCACTCCTGAAACACATTCCAGAGGAAACTAGTTTTAGTACATATATCTAGCACATTCCTCAAGTCAAGAGCTATAACCAGAAGGAAGTGTAGAAGGGACACCTGTAATTGAAAGGACAACTCCACCTAGCGACACCCATCCCTCAATGCCAGTATTTTTAAGAAACTTCAGCATGTAAATGGGAGATATCACACAAAATACATGTCGATTCCACCGGAATATGTTGTATATTCCAATGCTACTAATACACAGAAGCCATGCTGTGACAATAGGAGCAAACATGAAAGCAACTCTGTTTGTTCCATAATGCTGAAGAGAGAAAAGCCCCACCAGTATGACACACGAGATTATAACGACATAATCTGAAGGTACAAAGAAACAATCAAATCTAAGTTCGTCTCATAAAAATGGTCTTTGAGCAGTAAAATATTTCTAACAGTGATGAGTGAATTTGGACTTACTATCATGGAGACCGGAGATCTTAACTTTGACCCCTGAAACAGCTGAAAGGACTGTGAAGCAAAAGATAAGCAAATCTCAGTAAGAATAGGATCTGATCTCGAAATCAGACTATGTAAAAGCCACATGCAGAGTCACAAACAAAGGAAGAGATATGCAGGGAGAAAAGGAGGATATCTTGATGGCATACATTTCAGATTTGGCATCCAAGTTACACATGGACATAAAACTATTATTAAGTCACACTGCCTTCAGCATTCTGAATACCATTCAAAAAAGGAAGGCACTTTGTCTGTATCCACTTCATCTGGTTCTGGCAAGAAAAATATCAACTGCCATCACAATTCACCATCTCTAAGCATTCCGATTTAATACATACAGCATTCTTGGCCACAATAAGAAAAAAATTTCTAGACTAATCTTCCATGACATTGGAAGCGAACTTTTCCAATTTCAATGCACATCATAAGGGAATTCAGCATAATACCACTGTCAACAGCTAATCAATGAGGGTTTCCTAGGTACTTCTGCGGTAAACAAAAAGAGAGGTTATTATAAATCCCGCTACCTGATATTGTAGGAGTGAGTACGCCATCACCAATTGCCATACAGGTCCCCAGAAGAACAAAAATCAACAGCACTTTGTGACATCTTGGATGCTTCTCAAAGAATGACTTCAGAGTAGAACTCTGCCATGTGTCTGCAGATGCTTCTGTTGCATAGGTAGACAGCTTTTCATCTGTGGCGTGTTGATTTGGTAAAATGCTTAGTTTTGCATGTCGGCAAAGAAGAGAGTACAAAGCAAAGGTACCACCTGCACCATAAGCGAAAAGTTGACATCGATAAGCTGTCTTTCTCCCTTGTCCAAATCTGCAGCCATTGAGCTTCAAATTAATAAATTCTATGGGAACTAGTAAATGGCTTTGCCATGGAGGGATGTGTCTGGTGTTCAGGAGGAGAGCTCTACCTAAGTTATGCGCAACTACTACATTTTCAATGATTAGAATGCTGTTGTGTACAAAAGGGTGCTTAGCCTAGTCCAAGCAGCATTTTAATAGTCTGATGCAGGCATAACTATGAGAAGAAAAAGGGAGAGGGATAAGGATACAAGGGAAAAATTCTTTGGGCAGGTTTTTTGCAGAGTGACAAGTCTGCTTCTCAGCAATTGCAGTGCCTTAAAATTGGGGCTAAACCCAGGGAAGGATTTATGCATATATATGTGTGTGTGCGTGTGTGTGTCTGTGTCTGTGTGTATTTTTATATAAGGTCTCGTAATATTGAGAATAGAATACAAATTGGTTGCTCTATCCTTTGTAATTCTTCTGAGTGTCAATTTCGATAAGGTTGTGTACAACAAGCAATTAGTAAGTAGTTAAGAAAATAAGAAGGCTCTACCTTCACCATTGTCATCAGCTGACATGACAAAGAAAATGTATTTGACAAGAGCAATGAGAGTAAATGTCCAAAAGATAAAGGAAAGCACTCCATAAATTTCCTCGTCATCCTCATGAAGACTCAACTTCCCAGAGAAAGTGGTCTTGTAAACGTAGAGAGGGGATGTACTAAGGTCACCATAAACTACTCCGAGACTTTGATAAGCCAATGTGATCACGCTCAGGCAGGATGCCCTCTTTGCAATCTGATTCATAACAGAGTATATTAATATAATCATGATTCATATGAAATAAAGATTTAGGAGAAACAACATTATGAAATAAAATTATTATTATATTCAGGCTACAGAAAATGCAAAAGGTTCATGACCCTATTTTGCGCCAGAAATGAGCATTCAAGCCTTTTTGCAGTCGTTTTGAGGTTAAATGCTCTATTCCTATAATCAGAGAAGAAAATCTGCCACAACTTATCACAAATATACCTGAAGAATAACAGAGGCCAAGCTCTAAATTATGCCATATCCTTTCTCCCCTTTCTAAATGGAACCTATCTGACTGAAACGTCAAAGCTTAATTTGCAAAAAGAAAAAAGAAAAAAAAAACATCATGGGTGCAATGTTCTTAAACTCGTCCAAAATTTACCAATTTAAATACACAGAACTAAAATCCAAGGTGCCGGTAAGAGAAGCAGAATCTACCAATGACTTACATGAGTCACCATGAACACTTGCTCATGAAATTCAGTATCAGCGACAAACACAAAAAAGATTAAAAATTACTGCGAGGATCAAGAAAATAGAAACCCCACCAATTCATTTCCTCTTAGGAACTCATTTAGCACATTATACATCCATAAAAGAAAAAACTTGTAAAAAAACCATCTTTAGTATTACAAACAAACAATGAACTAAAATTTCTTGAGAAGCTTCCATTAGTGACAACATTTTCAACCCCATATAACGCAAAGTCCACAACACAGGAAACTGAAAAACTGCAATAAAAAAGAAAAAGAAAAAAGCATTGTTAATTGCAGAGTACCTGTGGAGATATTCCTTGCTCTACAAATTCCGCTGATGGGTTCATGGCGTTTTGTCTATAAGTGTGTTTGAGAGAGAGACAGAGCCTCAAAGATTGGAACCTGGAAGGTAAAAAGCCGTAAAAGAGAATATAAAGAGAGATGAGAGAATGTAGGAAGAGCGGCAGCAGTAAGTAGCGAGAGGCAAGTGCTGCGTGGGCACCAAAGAAGTTGCAAAATGCATTCAATGCTCTTTGTCCCCCCTTCTCTCTAATATTTTGTTTTTTCCCCCCCTTTTTTTTTTTTTTTTAATGAAGCCTTGAAACTTGTAGTATTATTATACAAGTAAACTAGCCTAGAAACCAATCTATAGATTTGCAGTTGCAGTTTTGCAGGGGAATTTTATTCTCTGAAATTCTTTTGCTCTAAACCAACTATCATTAACTATATATTACCATATACTTTCTTGGTTGGGGGTTACCTTAGTGTGGATGTCAAGAGAATAAAAGCTAATTGAATTGAGAAACGGAAAATATCTTATTCAATTACAGATTATCAAAAGTTATTAAGTACAGACAGTTTGGAAAGCGAACTTTAAGAACGTTATCCGTTTTTTTATTTGGTAAAAAGAGAGAAAGAGAACTGAGGACATTATCCATTTCATTTTCAGCCCACGTTCCTACTCCTACATCAAAAGATCAGATTTCTTACTTTAAGGCGTTGTTTCAGAATTTCTTTTCACCAACATCACTTTCTGAAAGGTCACGCCTATTAAATTTAATTATGGGATCATACTCATTTCATATTTCAATAAATGAGATTAATTAGGAAGTAGTGAGGAGATTAACCAAGTGAGGATAAGTTTTGTGTGTGTTTTCTTTTTTCATTTTTTTTTCTCTTTCCAACTTGAGTGAAAGAAAATGGTTCAAAATGTGAGACTTGGTTTCTGAAATAAATATAAAGCAAGAAAATCATTAAAAAATAGGGAAAGAGCCAAGTTGCTAAGAAGTTAAAAAGGTCACAGTCTTCTTTATGAGTGTAGTAATCTGTTTGGTATAATTTAGACATTTAAGTTTGGACCAAAGCTTGACTAATCCAGCTGGAAAGGAAGTAATTAGGTAAGCGTTTTGGTACTTTACCATCCTAATCCACTCTCTAATGCACTTGTCAATTGGCATGCAAACCTCATACATTTAATAATCAGTCGAAGGTAGCTTCTAGCCTAACAAGTGCACGGGGACCAAAGCACGATCACCTAATTAAACAAATTAGGATGTGACTTGTTAAACTAAAATATGCTAAAAGTAGAGACAAATAGAAGCACAAATGGACAAAAAAGGGGCAGTTATGGCACGAGCAGCGATGAATTTTTATTATCAATTTTATGTTATTTTTTAAAAGGGATTATTAACTATTTTTGTAGTGCTCTTTTGTTTCGTTAAGAAATTAAATTCCATCATGCTAATTACATTAATATGAGGAAGAAATTATTGAAAATTATTTACACACAAAAAAAAAAAAAAAAGTAAAACGCCAAAAATACACATACTAGTTTTCATATTGATTTTATAGGGAAGTTCAACCTTCAAAGGGTACCTGGCCAATGGCTTTGGCATTAAATTTAGGTTTCGTTTGGACTTCGGTGATTGTTACTTGTTTATAAGTTTTTTTTTTTAGAAAAAAAAATCTGTTATTTTCTTTTTAATTTTACAAAATAAATTAAATAGTTTTTAATTTTAAAAAACTAATCAATTAGTTAATTTAACTAATGTTTTATCATATTTATTTTAATATTATTTTGCTCTGAAAAAATGTCTTTTTTATTAATCTTTTCAAATTATTTATTTATTACTTTTTAATTTCTTAAAATTAAAAAGAAATGTTAAATGTATTGATTAATTAATTCTTAACACTAGAAATACTGTTTAATTCATTTTGTAAAACTAGAGGTAATAATTTATAATTTACTCCTGTCACGTCTGTAGGGAAAATGGTATCCTAGAAGTACCTATTTTTCTTGGACTTTTCTTCCCTGAAAGTTTTAGGGATATGTCATCAGCTGTCCTCGGGGCCTTGGCTTCTTGTTCTTGGCTAAAAAAAAGATGATCATTGATCAAGCGGTAGGACCATAAGGCCTTCGCTGTTTCCAGAAGCGTCCTTGTTTTTTTTCCTATATTTTGGGTCCATTCAGCTACTGTAAGTCTTTGAAGAAAATGATGTACCAAAAAAAGTTTTTAAAGAAAACACCTTTTCTTTACGAACTACAATTTTTTTTCCCCCGTATTCGTTTGGGTTTGTCCAAATCCTTATGCTAAGGCTATCAGTGTGTTCATCAACTAAAGAAATGAAGTTGACACTAAGTAAAAGTATCGAACAGCATAAAAGAAAGAAAGAAAGGAAGGAAGAAAGAAAAGATGATCTTAAAGTTAAAGTTGGTAGCTAGGAGTTAAACAAGAAACAATAAAGATGGTATTCCCAAGTTTGATTCTTTCACTTATTGAAGCAACTTACAATATGCAAGTTGTGATTGATGTAGATTACTTGCTAGAAGCATATAAGATGTCGAGATATGATCTTAACTCATTCCAAGTCTAATCTCTCTCTCTCTCTCGCGTCTTGTCATTCTTTATCGACGCTTGCCCTGGGGGAAGCTGGTCAACTGTCTAGTCTTGCGAGAGTTTTCGTACAGGGCAAAATCGTTGTTTTTTATTTGGAACTCCAAGATGATATTATTGAGAACTAGTGACATATGTATCTTAACAACCAAATCTTTCTTTGTTTGTTTCTCTCGAAATCATTGGTTCCGAGTTCCAACCGCACACTTATCGCCTCATTATACGGCCAAAATAATTATTTTTGAGTTGAGACTAACAGGTTGCATTATAGGAAGGTTGAGACATCAACTTATCGAAAACCTTTACGCCAAATACCTTCGATTTTTTTTCTCCAACATTATTGGGGTTCCCAACCGTACCATGTTTATTATTGCTAGTACATTGTATAGAGGGATGGACACAAATTGAAAAGAGAGGAGTCTAGGAGATGGAGGAAAAAAGAACCAAATAGAATTAGTTAGGTGAGCTATCTATACCAAACATTTATTTCTCTTTTGTCTAATCCCAATGGATTCGAGGTTAGGCCATTCAAACTTGGTAGCTCTGTTGCATGCTGTCTTTCTTATTTAACTTTCATTTGAAGTATTCAATAAGAACACCTTACCCTCTAGTTGATTTTACGAATAGAAAGGTTGAAAAGTCAAATATTACTCCCACATAAATAAATAATGTGCCTCTGGATGGCCTGGCACCTCAGCAAAATGCTTCTATGTTCAGGTTAATTTGCAGGCTTATGCAAATGAGAAAGTCGGCCAGGCCCAAGGTCTGCTCAATGCTTTACGACTAAGCTCGGTATAAACTTTTTGAAGGGCCAGATCCTCATAAGGAAAAGCCCAACGCAATCAAGGCCATTGACCATAAAGGGGTTTGATTGGAAAAAAGGCCCAATGCTGCTAAGGCTCACATAGCTAAAAATGAATAACAATAGTGCCGACTTTCAGACTGCTGTGCTAAATGCTCAGACATCTTGCCTGCCAATTATTCGTCATTTTTTATTGCCCAGTTTAAAGAGTTCATTTAAAATGATTTATCGAGTCAAAATCAATTACGTGTCATATAAATGCTAGAGCTGCTAATAATAATTATAAAGGTTTAATGACAAATGTTATCTTCATTCTATTACGATTTGAAATTTTCAAATCCAAACTATAAAGATACATAATTTAAATTCTAAAATATTGGACATTGAGCACATTTGATCTACACGAGAAAATGTTAGGTGTGATATTCTTTCCTTGCGCAATTGCATCAATTAGCATGTCCAATACAGAAAATGAAATCAAAAGATTCATACCCGCGTATCCCCCAGCCTCTTCAGGGGTTTCTCTATAAAACAACCACCAAACCTCCGATTCTGGAGAAATGAGCTAACATAACTTATTTCTTGAAACGACTTTAATGGAATATTAGACCAAGGAAATTAGGTAAATGAATCTTTCACCAAAGAGATCAATAGTAGCACACAAATCATGCTCATAATATAAAGATAATAATTCAGACTCTGCACAGTTCAAGAAATTATACCCCAGTAAAAACTGCCTGTAACTACTTTTGTTCTTTTTTTTTCCTCTTTTGGACTTCATCCACCGGGCATTATAACCAACTTACACCATGTAAACAATAGTTTAAAAACAAAACCCTACCTGAAAACTTTTGACAATACCCAGACCGCAAAAGCACAACTCTCAACATGTAAACATGACCCAAAGCTTTGACCAAATGCTAACAGACTCAAACTGCAGAATGCAGACCCCAAACCAGACTTTCGCCCATAAAACAACTTCAACAAATTTCTAGAGCATGAGAAACCCGCAAAATGAACTGGAACTGTGGTTGACACCTGACCTCATCATACCGTCAAGGGAGTGGCAAAACAAACAAATCGACCATCAAGGTGAGGGAGCAGGCTTCTCAACTTTCTTATCTGTGTCAGTCTTAGTTTCCTCCTCCTTGGTAGCAGTGGGTGCCTCTTCCGCAGCTTTCTCCTCAGTTTTCTTCTCTTCAACACTCAGCTTCTCCAAGGCATCAGCAGCAGCAGTTGCATCCTTATTTTCCTCTCCGCTCTTTTGGGATTCAGCAACTTCTTGAAACCTTTCCATGAAGGTTTTGCAATCTGAGGAAAAACCCAATATCAATAATCAATATGAGAAGGAAGATTAGTATAATGCATGTGTTTCACATTCACATGTAAAGAAGACACACATCCATCATACTTATGTAAAAGTCCAAATAATCAGATGGAAGCTCCACCATCAAACGAACTAAGGGTTCTTCCACTTTGAATACCCACAGGCCCACCTTCCACCCACACACCCCACAATTTCACTTCAGGAAATAAGAGTTAAATTTTCCACTCTCATGGTATTAAGGTCTCGACTCAAACTCAAGTTCACCTATGTCAACACATTTCCATAGCAACTTAAAATTAAATTCCACTTTGAGTTCTCACAAGCCGCATGTTTTTTTAAAAGAAAAGCATGATTTCCCTCGGAAAAAGCAGTTTAAAAAAAACAAGGTTATTTATCAAAGTTACTATTGAAGTTGAGATTCTTATTTTCATGTTTCATTTATCTAGCAATGAATTCTTTATTAATAGAGTAGAGATGAAACTCATTCCATCACAAGATGTCAAAACTAATCCGACGTGGCAGATTTCATAGAGCGCATATAATGGGACAAGCATCATCAGCTTATAAAATTCCAACTATGCTAATTCCACACCTTACTTATTGTCTATTTAGAGGTAATTGATCTAGACAACAACCATCTCCAAAATTTCTTTCTTACTTCACCACATTAGAACATTTAAAACCTACTCAGAACATAGTTGCACACTCCTTTACATCCTAACAATCTTAGGCATTATGCGTTAGTACACACAAAACTTCGCCCCAAGTTGAAATCAAATAAGCAAAGCATAAAAATATACAGCATGAATACACAGAAACTTCACTAACTTGGAAACAGAAAGCAAAAGCATATGATCCAAACCAAGTTATGTTTAGAACAGAGTTGCAATGCAACACAATTATGAACCAGACACAAGGATAGTTATCATTACTACTCAACTAAACCTACATCAAATATACAGCCAACCAAATAAAGAATACCAAATAAAAGAGAAGACATGCTCACTAAGAAAATCAAAATTCCTCCCATGAATTCACAGTTCCAAGACTTTACCACAATCAATACTTTCAAGTCTCACCTTCAAAAGAAAACATTCAAAGACAACTAAATAACAACACCGAAATATTATTCTACCAGGCATGCATTGCAACATATGCAATCAACTATGAAGCCTTTACAATGCAGAACCTACTTCAAACAGGACCACAATCCAAATATCAGAGAATTGAAAGAAATGTGATTCCAATCAGACAAATTGCTAGCCAAGAAGTTTCCAACAAAAACATATACTAATAAAGACTCACTTTCAACAGATGCGAAACGGATACAGAACAACTCATCCTTCAATTCACCATCAGCGAAATCCGTAGCGTGCCACACACACGACTTATCATTCCCTGCGTGCTCCTGCACTGACATGGTCGGCAGCACTACAAAAACACAAACACAACAAATTCAACACACTAACAATATCACAAACACAACATATTCAAAACTCTAACAAAATCACACAAAAAAAGGAAAAAAAAAGTGAAAACAAACCGAGATGATTAGCGCAGATCTTGAGAGTCTTAGATTGTCTCATAACAAGACGAACTTTTCCAGACTGTTTATGTTTCAATAACTTAACAGTGCCAGCACCTCTCTCTTTCCACTGATTCCCGTCCTTATCAAATCTATAAAGCTTCGATTTCCTTCAAGTATTTTGAAAAAAAAAATTAAAAAAAAAAATCACATTCAGTCACAAAGAAACCCTAAAATAGGCACAAAAAAAGAAGAGAATAGATTTATATTCTTACAGATCGAGGATCGCCTCTTCATCTTCTTCACCAGTAGAAACGGCGACCTCTTCCAGTTTGACGATCGGAGCTACCTGAGCACCGGTGTCTTCGTCTTCACCGGCTGGGGCTTCCGCTTCTTCTCTGTGCTCGTGTTCGGGCTCAGTGCTAGCCATTAGATTTGATGTCTGTGTTCTAGTGTCAGGAGGGATTGGGGTTTTTGGGCTATAGCAAGGTAGCTAGGTAAAGGAGGTTTATATATAGTGGGGGCTGGTTAATTATATGTGCGATAGTGTGTGATTTTACGACTGCTGTCGGCTGGGTAGAATGTAAATAACAAGAGGCGTGAGCTTTACGCCCAGTACAATACAATTCAATTCAATTATACAAGAGTTAAAACACCGTTATTTTTTCTTGTCCTTTGGGGTTAAAAATTTGAGGAGTGATTTTTTTTCAAATCAAGAGTCCAGGGGCCCTTTCTATTCTCTGGGATTAAAGTTTGTGTTTTTCCCCGAATCCATATATATTTAAATCTTTATTCTTAAACGGAGGCATTTTTAAATTTAATTCTCAAATAAAGATATTTTTTTGTTACATGAGATTTTTTTTATCCACATCATTTTTTTATTAATTGTTGAAAAATAATTTTATTATATTAAATAGCTTCATCTTTATTTTAAATATTTTATTAATTAAAAATGTAAAAATGATAAGCCTCTCTTTTTAGAAGGAAAAAAATAAAATAAAAAAGGTTTCATCCTTTTAGGTTTAGGGCTGCCGCCGGGCAAACTGTTGCAAGTGGCTAGCCCCAAAACCTTCTTCTTCTTTTTTCATTTTCTTTGTTCTTTTAAATTTCTTTTTAGATTTGCAATGTCAGAATAATGTTCTGTCAATTTACAGATCGTTTGAGAAACCCATGAGGATGAAGTTCAAAGATGAGAACATTGTGGATGTGTATTTCAAGATTGACGAATTGCCTAACATGTTGAATATTTTGAATAGATTTGCTAATTAATAGAAGGAATGATAATGAAACTCACAACAGAAACTCTTCGGATGTAAGCATTATGTAGAGAAAAAGGATAGAGAGATAAGAAAATAATAAGAAGAAGAAGAACAAACCAATAAAAAGAAAAAATTAATATATGACAATAAAACATTTATTTAATAAAATGATTAAAAAAAATGACATGTCAAGTTACATAAATGAGATATTTCTTATATGACATAGAGTACCTTATTTTGATAAATAAGTTTAAAACTATCCTATTATTGTAAATAAGATTTAAAAATACCTTATTAAAAAAAAAAAAAACTCATCAAAGTTTACTACTGTCTTTACTGGTCTGTCTATCATAATATTCTCATCACTTCCTGCACTTCGAGACCAAATACCTTTTTTATGAAAATTTCATTCTCATTCTCGAATTTGTTTTAGATTTGAACAGAAGATGATAAAACAAGATGCAAATTCATTTACAAACTGATCCAAAGCTTTGAAAGTCGTGCTTGACAAGTTTCCCAGATCATAATTTTTAGAACAATTTACATTTAGATCACGGTTTATTTCGACATGACCTGATAACCTCATACATGTAATTTTTAATAATAATAAGAGATCAAAACCATATAGTGTTTTTCACGACAAAGACCAGTTTAATTGATTTTTACTTCAAAATGCCTTTTTCCATTTCAATTTCAGAAGCACGCTTAACATCAAATATTATTAGGCTGCACTTCTCATCTCGCAGGGTAGAGCCGTATATTTGTTCATCCAATTGATGCAATACGTGTTCATTTAACCCTGTAATCATAAAGTAGAACCTAGGTCTCGGTCACTGGACATCAAAGCCACAATAATACCCTAAAAACTAACTGTTGGTTCGAGGATATCTTGAAACCCGCTTCCTCGAAGAGGTTAGAGATACGCTCAGCAGTAGCAGGATCTGTTTCCAACTCTTGATAACTGAAATCAATACCGCTAATTCGAGAATGTTCAGAAAAAAGTACAGCCGCATCGCTAGATTATTAAAATCGCTTTGCAACAAAGATATATTAGTCCAACAGCAATGGAAAACATCAATTTTCAAGTATAAACTGAACTGTTGTACACAAAAAGAAATAGGGATCACAAAATTTCAAAACCCTAATGTGAATCCAATTACCATGCCTTTGAGAATTAACAAAACCAAAATGTTATAGCTATAAAACTAAAACACCTATACACGTGCCACAACCACAACAAATTCAATAACACATTCACTTGGCTCAGCCTTCCCTGGGGAAAAACTTGCTCTGCTATGACCAAAAGAATTCTGCGAGAAATAAACATTACAGCAAATGCAATGGCAGGCACCTGTTCGGAGCATCAGTCAATTTCCTCCCAGAAGCATAAAACCATCAAAAGAACTGAATTGACCTTCAATAACAGACAAGGAATTCTGGAGAATCTAACTTCAGAGGTTGGTATCCAGATCAGTAAGGGCCCATGGCTGGCATGCCAAAAGGTGGCATTGGAGGCATTCCCATTCCACCCATTGGAGGAGGTGGTGCAAAACCCCCACCCATCCCTGAACTACTCATTCCAGGCATCGGTGGCGCAGGCAAAGCAAGGGGCAACAATTGTGCATACATATTCTGCAGGAAAGAGAACAGAAAGAAGCGGAATGAGTTTAACCTAAATATCCCTAACTGCATTATAAAAGAACAAGGTCTTTTCATGAACATATCTCTAAAATACTGTGTACTGTTATAACTTTATTGATCAATTCATATTTAACAATATGCAAAAAAAAAAAAAAAAAAAAAAAAAAAAACAAACTCTTTAAGTGTAAGAAAAAAGCTTTTATGGCACTATTTATTTTCGTACATATATTTATTGAAAGCTTGGGAACAAGTTCGGCAGAGTTTTGTGAGAAAGATGACAAAAACAAAAGGAGGGGAATTTTTTTACTGATACATTAAGGGCTTATGTTAAAAGCATCAAATAGCAAATACCTGCTGAGCAACCATGTCCTTCTCCTCGTTCTCTTTAGCCTTTGCATCATTAAGAGCCTCAAGTTTATCCTTGATGAGTTCATCTACTTTACTTGTGTACTCACGGATAAACTTAAAAACAGAAAAGAACAACAAAATCAGAGGTTGAAGGAAATGGAAGACAAATTATAAGTACTAACAACTAAGAATGAAGGGGCAAAAATCATAAAGACTACCTGTAAGAGATATGGGAATGCAAAATCAATCATATTGTTCATCCAAGCCAGCTCCATAGCAACATCTGGTCGGATCAAATCATAACAAACAAAGAGGCAAGCTGCAAAGCACTCTTTCTTTCCCTGCATAAGCATTGAACAAGATCATCAATGCAGTTGTCATACAGGACCTCCCAATTTGACAACATGTATCTAGCACAATAAATTATCTCATGTGCGTTTTGGGGGTTTCTTTTTTCTTTTTTGCGAGAGGACTGCATGATAGAAGCTCTAAAAAAAGTACTGTAGTCTAAAATTAATATCAACCAATAGCATAATCCTTAAAAAATGATTGAAAGAGAGATTAAAAACACTCCTATTTTAGCAGTCATCTGAATCAAATTAGACAAAGATGAGAAAAATGCAATGGAAAATACAAGGGAGGAGGGGGCGTGCAGGGACTTCACAATATGAAGCTTTCGTCAGCCACTGAAGATGTGCTGCATTGCTACACACACACACACACAAACATATGGGAGGGAGATGGACGAGAGAAAACAAACCTGCTCAATGAAATATACAAGCAACTCCTCTGAAATTTCGCGATCACCAGACTGCGAACAAGTTTCCATACAATCTTTGTAAAGATTGTCCTTCTTTGACAGAGCAATTGACTGCTTCCACCTTCCTGCTTTCTTGTATATATAAGCAGCAACACGTCTCATCTCAAGAAGCTCGTGTTTCTCAATCTGCTCAAACACATTATCAAGGGTTGTAAATAAAAAAAATCAACCTTCAGGATTTTCAGTCATCTTCTGAAATTTAAACTAACCTTCTGTGCAAGGCCTATCTGGTCAAAGTTATCATGCAACTCAATAGATTCACGAAGCCTGTCATAGTCCTCCTCCTCAATGTAAATTTCATTCAATGCTTCATTTACAGCAGAGACATTGTTGCTCTGGACTGCAACCATGTATGGCTTAACAAGACGAAGGTGACCGGCCTGAAACTCGTATAATTGCAGATATGAATAAGATATTACAGAGAAATCTCTTCCTAGTCACTAACTTTCCAACAGAAGTGGGAGCAATAGTACCATAAGGTGATGAATGATAAAATGTACCTTTCGCATTATGTCCACCACTCGAGTATGGTCAACACGTAGTGCAATCACATTAAGAAGATCATTGATTAGGTCTGGATGCTCTTTCAAGTAAAAGTGAACAGCCTTGTAGTAGAGCTCAACATTTGCAACTTTCACTACAACATCTTTGAATTGCATGTGGTCCCATGCTTCTGGAGAGTGGTTCATTATAGTGGTTGCAGCATTGTCAAATTCATCATATTGGATGTATAAATATGTCAGTTCCTTCCAATGCTGTTGTTCATCACAAGCACGGATAAGCTTGGGGATGTTGAGACGAGTTGAGAACAATTTGATGTGCTCCATAAGCTTCTCAGGGCGGTATCTAGCATATAAAACTCCCAACTCCGTGAAGATACCCATATGTGCGCGTTCCAAACCAAGCCCACTTTCCATTAGAGAAATGAGCTCACTAAAGCATCCCCTGTTCTGGTAATACTCACTGACCTCTTCCAAATCATCAACCTATAATGATAGAATTAACAGGAATCAGAATTTAGGAGCACAAGGATACTTTCAATTTAAGGACAGATTCAATGTATAACTATATCTCTCTAATCACTTGCTAAGGATAAAAGATGAAGGAAAAAAACAACCAGCAGCCAAAAAGGGCCAAGGCCCTTGTAGGAATTACAACCATAACAAATTAGGCTCACAACATTGATAAGTCAACTGAAAGAAACTGGCAGAAGGTTCAAACAATAACCACCTGTATGATAATGTTGAGACCGCATATCTGAGCCAAGCGGAATTCCTCAGAATCAATACAAGCAAAGCAGACTTCTTTCCATGTTTTGGAGCTATTTGCTTTTCGAGCTGCATCAACAGCACTTTGGAACTC